TTCCCCAGATTCCCCTATTATTAACATCTTGCTTTAGCACAGTTGATGAACCAGTATTATTATTAACTCAAGTGAATAGTTTACATTAGAGTTCACTCTTTGTGTTTTACAGTTCTATGGGATTTGACAAATGCATAATGTCATGTTTCCATATGACAGTTTCATACAGAGTAGTTTCACTGTCATAGAAGTCCTTTGTGTATCCCCCAAATCCCTGGCAACTACTGATCTTTTTACTGTCAACATAGTTTTGCCTTTCTGAAATGTCACATAGTTGGAATCATGCAATATGTAGTCTTTTCTGACTGACTTATTTCCCTTAGAAATATGCATTTAAAGTTCTTCTGTGTCTTTTCGTGCCTCAGTAGTTTACTTGTTGTTAGCACTGATTAACATTCCATTGTATGGATTATCACAATTCCTTTAGCCATTTACCTATTGCAGGACATCTTGGTTGCTTTCAGTTTTTGATGGTCATAAATAAATCTACCTTAAACATTTAGATGCAAATTTTTGTGTGGACATAACTTTTCAACTCAATTGGGTGAAAATCCAGTAGCATGACTGCTGGATCATAGGGTAAAACTATGTTTAGTTTTGTAAGACACTCAAACTGCCTTCCAGGTGTCTGTACCATTTTGCAGTCCACACATAATGAATGAACATCCCTGTTGCTCCACATCCTCATCAGCATTTGGTATTGTCAGTGTTTTCAATTTTAGCTTTTCCAATAGGTAGGTAGTGGTATCTTGTTTGCATTTTCAATTCTCTAATGACATATTATAATCTGCATCTTTTCATATGCTTATTGGCTACCTGTCAATCTTCTTTGGTGAGGTGTCTGTTCAGATCTTTTACCCACTTTGAAATTGTATTGTTTCTTTTCTTATTTTTTTGTTTAAGAGTTCTTTGTATATTTTTGATACAAATCCTTCATCAGATATGTGTTTTGCAACTATTTTCTCCCAGTGGCTTCTCTTTTCATTCTCTCAACAATTACTTTCACAAAAATTTTTAATTTTAATGAAATGCATCTTGTCGGGTTTTTTTCATGAATCATTGTTTCCGTGTTGTATCTTAACACATCGTCAAACCCAACTTCACCTAGATTTTTTTCCTGTGTAATCTTCTAGAGGTTTTATCACCCTGTGTTCTACATTTTGGTCTAAGATTCATTTTGAGTTAGTTTTTGTGAAAGGTGTTTTCTCACCTGAATGCCTAGAGTCAGTGAAAGGCTGGGTTTCCTTGGGTGAGACTGTCCTGTGTATTTGCAGACAACTATTATCCCTGACCTCGCCCATTAATTGCCATTACCACCTTCTCCTCCAATCACTGTGGCCACTAACAAACATCCTCAAATGCCCGAGGAGGCAATGTTTTGTCCTTCTATGGGTAATTTCCCTCCCAACATAGGAGACAGAGAATAATGGGGTTCAAATAAGCTGTTGAAAGTAACTGCAGTGGCTGTGAATTTTACCACAGCGTTTTGGAGCCATCCAACCAGATATGATCTTTGTTTTGCTTTGTTTTGAACTTCATATAAGTGCAGCTGACTTTTTAAAAATGCAACATGTTTTTGAGACTCATTCATGATTGTTAGGGCTGTTGTTTATTGTTCAGTGACTTGTAGTATTCCACCACCACATGGTCTTTATCTGACCGGATAAATGTTGCAGGCATCTGGCCAGTTCCCCATTTTATTCTAGGATAAGCAATAATGCTCTGGGTGGTACTGTACCCATTGCACATATCTTGTGCAGGCATTTCTACAGATCGGGGG